CGTGTTAGACGCTAGTCGTACGAGACAAGCTCGACGGACCGGTAAACGTGACGAGAATTGAGCACGTATTGCAATGATCTTACTACCCGGACCGTATCTCGAATTTATACAAAATTCGAGTAAAACCTGTAAATGTTTCCGAAGAAACGCACCGTTTATTGCACGTGCCATGAGGAAGCTGTAACAGAAATGTTAAATAATACACGAAAAATTAATGAAAATTTACAAAAGGAATAAGATATTGAGAGAGCCGAGACGGAGGAGCTACTAGAGAAATGAGATAAATAAAGGAACGTGACGGGAAAAGAGAAGAGAATAATTCTTGAAAAATTACGTGGATTAGCGTTTTACGATGTATGTATTAGAATTGCTTTTTGTAATTTTTATATTTAATTTGGATTAATTTGTATTATCGTTTTTCAATTTCATTTAGAATGCATATTAAATGTGACATTAAAATATATTAATTTTAAACTAAATGTAATAAATTTAATAAATTTTTAATATTACCTAACTATTTTTTTATATTTTCATCTTCATCACGCTATATGCAAACGCTGTTGTGACTTTGCAATCAAAGTATTTCTATAATTTTTCTATAATATTTAACATAATAGTGTAATAGTTATTTACATTTATATAAAAAAAATCTGTCTGTATTACCACGACATCGTTCTTTGTCCACGGTAAACTTATTGTTAAACTAAGTTTCTGTCTAAATTATCTAATTTTTTGAAAAATGTGTTTAAACTCGATATAATTATGAAGTAATCATTATTTCCAACACGATTATTGTTTTATTTAAAAAATTGCTTTACTGTGTAATTCATAATTTAGTGCTTTATATTAATTTTACAATAATCTTAAATTATGTCTGAGACTCTTGTTTACACAATGTTTACATGAAATAGAAATGATTTCGAAGATACAATGAAAAAGGAATGAAAATTGCAAGAAAATTGAATCATCATAGACATCCCAGTACATTATGACTGTATTTATAGTATCATCTAGATAATTCTATTTGTTTTAAGATAAATCTGTAGAAATCTTTGTACTTATCGCGCTAATAATAGTTTCATCATATTGACACTCCATTATTATTTTAAGTTATACACTTGTTTTCTTATCGTTTTAACATATTGTAAGTGGCTCAGTTTCGGCCGAAACGTCTATAATTTATTGTTTATATATGTACATTTAAATATAACTATTGCGCGAAAAAATCCTGCGTTGTGACTCATAAGCTCCTTATCAGTTGCATTTATATTATTATTATATCACTTATATCTAGTTGTAATATATATTATATGAGTGTCTTTTTTATAGACAAATTTTAATGGAAACATTAATATTATATAATTTGAAAAGTTCTTGTATTCCGCGACGTAATTTATGGGATTTTATGTCAGTTATTTTGCTTTACTTGTAAATTTATTTTATCAATCAATCAAATGAATAAGTTACAAACTATTATGTTAAAAATGATACTGTGTGTGTTCAAGAATTAATTATTTATAATTATATGTATTGCATTTTATATGTTTATATATATATATATATATATATATATGTGTGTGTATATATGTATATATATATATGTACATATGTAAAATAAGATTAGTCAGTCGTTGTATAATATTATTGTACTTTTCTTGTAAAAGGCAATTTTTTTATTTATATGCATTCAAAAGATATTTTTAAAAATGTACATATTTTTTTGCACCAATTTATAACATATTTAATCTTGGAAATAAGATGAAATCTTGGGAATAAGATTAAGGAAAATAAATGCGTAACTTGTTTAATTATAGGTTTTGCTATATCAAAATATAATTCTTTATTTTTGTCATATATATTGTATATGAATATCCTATACTATAATTTTTTTAAAAAGAAATCTGTGGAAATCTTTATATTTTAAAATTCATAATATTTTGTTTATACGAAAATTTTTTTTTTACTTCATTATTAATTTCATCAATTTTAATTTGAAAATCAATTATTTCAATAATTTTTTTATATTTATCAAACTTATTTTTATTAAAATACAGCTTTATGCATAATATTTTTTTTTTTATTTATATTGCCAAAAAGAAAGGAATTTTTATTGGATATTCTTTTGAATTAAAAAATTTAATCATTTCTAATATGTGTGAATTACATAATTCAATAAAATTAATTCTTGTTCTCTCTTTCTTATTTTGATTTTATTATATTTATAACACTAACTCATTATTGAAATTCTATTTCATTTTCTTTTTATGTGTATACTTGTGTGAATACCCGGGAAAAAAATGTTTTATATATATATATAGACATTTTTATATAATTATACAAATTGTATTATATTTATATAATTATGTATAACTATATATGATATTATATATAATTGTATATATAAAATATATTAATTTTTTATATAATTTAATATAATTATATATGAAACATTTTTTTCTGGGTATAAACATAATAGTCTCAAGCACAATAGCACATCAAGACGCTGACCAAGTTAACAAGCTGACAAATAAGATTAGATAGATAGACAAATCCAAGATTAAATATGTGTTATAATTGTTTATAGTTAATCCATTTTAAAATAACGGATTTATAAAGCATTATATTTATTTCTAATATAATAATAGAGCTACATTTTTCACAGATTTGTTACCTGATAAAATCTTTATTTTTCACAGATTTGTTACCTGATAAAATCTTTATCACTCACCGACTAATGCGTAGCAGTAGAGTTATCAGCTACGTGGCTACATAGTTCTGTAACATACCAACAAGATTCAAATTAAAATAACATTCAAAATAATTAATAATTCAAAAAATAATTTTTATACATATTGAATTTTTCAACTATATATCTGTTAAAAAATAATTACTTTTGCTCAAAATTGTTTTGATGAGAATAAATTTCCATAATATTTTAGATTAATTCTTTTTCTTCAATTATTATTTTTAATCATCAATATAAAACAATCTAATGAAAGAAGTGACTAATTTTTTATGCAAGTAAGCAATAAGTTTGCTTACCGCAAAATTGCTCCATTGCTTTTCCTAAGCTTCCTCCTTTTCTTCTTCCTCCTCCTTTTCACAGAATTATCAAGCCTGCTTCTCGTCTCTCTTCTCTTTCTCTTTTCTTGTTTACTTTATGACATGTAGACAGTACCTATTGAAACAAATCGTTTGTTAAAATTAAGTGCAGTTGCAAATAATTACTAAAGATGCGCTGTTTTGTACTTATACAATACTTGTAAGCATCATTTGTTCTGTTTAATAAGCAACAAGAATGAACTGATGCTTACAGCGTATGAGCGTGAAAGCGAAATGCACCCTAAATATTATGCGACCATGTCATATTTTATTCGTATTGATATTAATTATGCATGATACATAATTCATGTTGCGAAAACAAAAAAATAAGAACGCAGAAAATTATCATGTTTGATACTCGCGATATTTTTAAAATAAAATTTGGAATGCATCTAAAATAGCAAAAAATTTCTGGACAGTGACTTCACGCATCAAAGACGAAACGCTATTCGACTGCACGAGTATTGTTATACGTGCTCGAACAAATTATCGATATAAAATTAATTTTGCTTACCAATTAAATAAGTCGCGTCGCCACTCATTTGAAACCGACCATCTCGTATTCGCCGCATTCTGCAAATAAAACATAAATACAATTATTGTGTCGAAATGATTTCGTCTCTCGCGTGATCAATTTCACACGCCAAGAGCGATGGCGGTGGCAATGTTGTGCGCATCTTTCTCTTATAACTTATAAGCGAATATTCAATCTGTAATTATACGAACATTAAGTGTTATAATAAACGACAAATGTAGGTTTAATATAAGGTTTAATTATCATTTGATCGATGCCAATCTTGTCTCTTCATTATATTTGCGCTTCATTTACAGATCGAGATGTGTAAATGGATCGTAGTTGTAATTAGGATGACCAGCAACTTCGTTTTTGCGCGGTTAACTTCGCGTATCAAAATCGACGCGAACGCGGCGTAGTGCACTTCTCACTCTTGGCGTTGCATTCATGAATTTTCCGTATTTCAAGATCTGATGTTCGAAATACGGAAATAACAATCATATTATAATATATTCTTATCTTTTATGATTATTATTTTCGTATATTGCAGATTGATATTCAAAAATCTCATCGTCAATTATTCAAGTGATATACTTTCGGCGAACAAGTTTTGCGAAATACGCGTTCGAACGGATTATTAATATGCGATTACTGAATCTATAGTCGGTAGTTAAATATCGTGTACAAAAATATACATTCAAGTTATACATTTAGGTATTATATAGGTTTTAATTACCATATTTGATCGTGCGTTTCCACTTGTCTGAGAGCCAGTCCGTTCCGCCATGTCGCTCCGCCGCATTTCGCGAATAAAATGTGAATGCGTCGAAGTGGGGGAGCGGCGTCGTTTTTCATGTGCGGTTAACTTCACGCGTAAAAAGTGACTCGCGACGCGACACGACACGACACGACAGGACATCGCGCATCTTGATTTTCTATCGAATGAATATGCGAGAAATATACTTTTGACCGAATAATCAGTATGCTAGTACTATATATACTAGAATCAACACGCGATATTTACATTGTTATGAGAAGTAAAAGCAAAATTAATTATTGATTACCTTAATAAAGAAATCCAACGATGAAAGATCCTTCGTGTTGTTTCTCATCGTTTTATGTTCCAAGAGATTCCGTTGTTTTATAATCAACAAAGATTAGAATATGGAGAAAAAGTCACAATCGATTCGGAGACAGGGCTGCGAACTTTTCCAACGTCGTTTTATCTTCAACAGAGATTAGAATATGGAGAAAGTCACACTCGATTCGAAGACAGGGTGCGAACTTTTTCAACGTTAAATGACAGGACGTACTCCCGTCCCCTGCTCGAGTCGCAAAAGCGTAAGACTGAGAATTTCGCGGTATTTATATGAGCGTCAAATGGGCGAACCCCACCACTCGCATGCCAGCCAATAAGCGCGATGCCTCGCTGCGGATGCTTATTGGTTCACGTTAGCTTCCGAATATGATATATAAACTCTGCACGCAAAAAATTTCAGTCATTCTCGGAAGCGCGAGTATAGACGTACTTACTACTTAAAGTTCTATAATGAAATTTTAGGTCAAAACATTGATACAGCACTACTCCACTGAATTTTATTTTATTGTTAAATATTAAATATATTATGATAAGAATCATTATGCTTACTTGTGCATGAAATAAAAACGATAGTAGGTTTTTTATATAATATATGCAGTATTGGAAAATGAACTTAACGAGATTATATCGACAGAGAGAAACCTGAGATAGAACATATTGTTGTGTAGTTAACATCCATTTCTTCAGAGGCAGTAGTGCGCAGCATTTTGTAGATACAGATTTTGGGCTGTCATGTCGTCTATCAGGTTTATCTCTGATGATACTCTTTTCCATATATTTTCATGTACTTTAAAGTGTAACAGTTGCAGATATATAATCAAATTATGCCACAAAACCGTTCCCGCCTTTCTTCGTATGATTGAGGAGTTCGGCTTCTTGTATTTTGTGTTTTCACATTAAGTTTTACATGTCACAATAAAAGACATGAGTAAAGTAAATCGAAAACCGTTTTCAGCACCTTCGGCAGCGAAGAAGCCCAAATTTAGGTAATTATTTATCTCGCTAATAAATCTAATGCTTGTTAACCTCTATGTTTCTGTCCACATTGTATTTTCAGCTATTAACAATTCATCACAATACTATTACATTCATTAATACTTTTTTAATCATTAAATTGAATAAATATGCTTGCTTTATATCTATTTATCTAAATCTAAAATTTAGTTATTATTTATGAAATGTATTTTTCTCTCTGTATACAATAAACAAATATTTATTATTATGTTTTTAAAATTTTGTCGACTGATATTGATTTGTATTTAACTACTACGATTTGAAAAATTACATAATATTAAATATCTACAGTATCATATTTTTCTTATGTGAAACAATAAATTTAAAAATTTGTATATTAATCTTGTCAAACAGAGATGAAGATGAAGAGAAGCCTAGTTCATTTGAGACAGAACTGGCCACTATGGATCTTGCAGATGAAGATTTTTTAGACGAGACACTATTAATTGGAGAAGTATGTCTAAATCTATTAGTATTTCTGTTAATTAATTTTCTATTTAAATAAATGTATACAATTTATATCTTTTATGTTATACGTGATAATATGTATACAGATTTATATTATTCACTAATAATTCTATTATAGGGACCTGAACAAGAAAATACATCTGCAAAATGGAGCAGAGCTCCTCCACCGTCTTTGAATCCAAAAGTTGATACACTGTCATTTCAACAAATTGAAATTGATCATTATATAGGTAATGGATGCGTTCAAGTTGACAAAGCGGCTAGCCTGCTTGTCAAATAAATATAATTAGTTGTTACTTAGATCCAAGCAATTACATTCAATCCCTTGGTGAGCAGGCTGATAGCTTTGTCCGACTTGAATTCGTCCAATGTATTGTTAAGTGTGTGTGTAGGTGTGTGTATGTGTATATATGTATATATATATATATATATATATATATATATATATATATATGAAGCAGAAGTTCATCAATTAAAAATATATTAGTATTGTAAAATTTATTGTATATAGGTAAACCTCTTCCTGGAATGCCAGGTAGTAAAGTAGGACCTGTACCAATAATGAGAATGTTTGGTGTTACGGAACAAGGAAATTCTGTCTGTTGCCATGTCCATGGTTTTTGTCCATATTTGTTTGTATCAGCACCATCAAATTTTACAAACGATCACTGCAAGCCATTCAAAGTACATTTATTTTAACAAAAAACTTGTGTTGATTTAAGAAGTAATTAACACCAGAATTTCTTGAATATAGGAGGCTCTTAATCAAGCTGTAAAGAAGGATATGAAATCAAATCCAGATAACATACAAGATGCCATTCTAGCAGTCGAGTTAGTCTATAAACAATCGATGTATGGATATGGAGGAAACGATAAGTTGCCATTTTTGAAAATTACAGTGGCAGTCCCAAAATTGATAGCACCTTGTAAAAGATTATTAGAACAAGACACAGTGTATACTGCATTCAATTATCACTATAGAGCGTTTGAAAGTAACATCGATTTTGATATCAGGTAGTGTAGACATATAACATTATGTATTATTATTTATATATGTTACATTTTCATCAAAATTACAACATTTATTTTTTTATATTTGATCATTTAAATGCAAGGTTCATGGTTGATACGTCAGTAGTTGGCTGTTCTTGGATTGAATTACCACCAGGAAGCTGGAAATTACGTGGCCAGTATGGACACATGTTGGAATTAATTACACGATGTCAGTTAGAAGTGGATGTTGCATGGGATGCTTTTGTAGCTCATGCACCGGAAGGGGAATGGTCAAAAATAGCTCCATTCAGAATTCTTAGTTTTGATATTGAATGCGCTGGACGCGAAGGTAATTATTGTCATTGCTCTTTCTCCTTTAACTCAGATGCTTTTTATTATACATAAATTTAATTATAAATCCTTTCTGCAGGTATCTTCCCGGAAGCAAAACATGATCCTGTGATACAAATTGCTAACATGGTCATAAGACAAGGCGAATCTGAACCATTTTTAAGAAATATTTTCACTCTTGATACTTGCGCGCCTATCGTCGGTTGCCAAGTTCTGAGCTTTGAAAAAGAAAGTTTAATGTTAGAAGTAAGTTAATTAAAAGTATCCAATATGTGATATCAATTATCTATATTAACGATATTATTTTATTTTGCAAGAAATGGGCTGATTTTATGCGACAATTAGATCCTGACATTTTCACAGGGTATAACATAAATAATTTTGACTTTCCATACTTAATTAATCGTGCGCAACATCTTAATGTTAAAAACTTCAACTTTCTCGGACGAATAAAAAATATAAAGTCTGTAATCAAAGATCATGTATTGCAAAGCAAACAGCTGGGTCGTCGTGAAAACAAATCGATTAATTTTGAAGGAAGAGTTCCATTCGATTTATTGCTAGTAAGAAAATTTATGTAATGTGTAAACACAGTTCAAATATGTACTTTTCAGGTATTGGTTCGAGATTATAAACTGAGGTCTTATACTTTAAATGCGGTATCATACCATTTTCTTCAAGAACAAAAAGAAGATGTCCAGCATAAGGATATTACAGGATTACAAAACGGAAATGCACAGACACGTCGACGTCTTGCTGTATACTGTTTGAAGGATGCATACTTACCACTTAGATTATTAGACAAATTAATGTGTATTATTATCTATATGGAAATGGCAAGAGTAACAGGAGTGTCCATTTCTAGCTTATTGACTCGCGGGCAACAAATCAAAGTTGTCTCTCAACTTTTACGTAAGGTAATAAATTTTCATAATTACAGAAAGAAATAATTATTTGATATTGGCAATTAAGTATATCTATTAACATCAGACTAGGGAAAAAGATTATTTGATGCCAGTACATCAAGGCCATGGTACCGACGAACAATTCGAAGGAGCGACTGTCATTGAACCTAAGCGTGGCTACTACAATGATCCAATAGCTACCTTAGATTTCAGTTCCTTATATCCTAGCATTATTATGGCACACAACTTATGTTACACGACATTATTAACTATTGCTAAAAAGAAGGAACTCAATATTCAGGAGGACCAGATTACCACAACTCCTAGTAAATCATTATTCATCAAGAATAGTGTAAGGAAAGGAATCCTTCCTGAGATTTTGGAGAATCTATTGGTAGCTAGAAAAAAAGCAAAAACAGAGTTAAAACAAGAAACGGATCCTTTGAAGCAAAAAGTACTCGATGGCAGACAATACGCCTTGAAAGTATCGGCGAATTCCGTATATGGCTTCACAGGTGCGCAGATGGGAAAATTACCATGCTTGGAAATATCTGCTGTAAGTTCTTGATATTCTCAAAATATATTGAATGAAAAGAGCATTCCAAAATATATCATAAAAAATACAAAATATTCATAATAAATGTAATATAATAAATTGCAGAGTGTTACAGCTTATGGACGTACTATGATAGAGCAAACAAAGCAAGAAGTGGAGGATCACTTTCGAATAGAAAATGGATACAAAAACGATGCGATGGTCATATATGGTGACACTGATTCCGTGATGGTTAAGTTTGGCGTGAAAGATATAGAAGATGCAATGAAACTCGGTAAAGAAGCGGCCGATTACGTGACATCTAAATTCATTAAGCCTATAAAGCTAGAGTTTGAGAAAGTGTATTTTCCGTATCTCTTGATCAATAAAAAACGTTATGCTGGTCTGTATTTTACGAAACCCGATAAATATGACAAAATGGATTGTAAAGGTCTCGAAACGGTGCGCAGAGATAATTGTCCATTGGTAGCGAATATGATGAATACTTGTTTGCAAATATTGCTCATCGAAAGGTACATTATTTTTTTCTTCACTTTTTTTATCTAAGTCATATTTATATTATATAGATAAGTAACAAATAATATATTATATATACACAGGAATCCACATGCTGCTGTAGATTATGCTAAACAAGTTATTAGTGATCTTTTGTGTAATCGTATCGATCTATCTCAATTAGTTATCACGAAGGAATTGACAAAGACAGATTATGCGGCCAAGCAAGCGCATGTTGAACTGGCGACAAAGATGAAGAAACGAGACGCTGGAAATGCACCGAAACTTGGTGACCGAGTGGCGTACGTGTTCATAAGCGCAGCTAAAGGCACGCCGGCATACCAAAAAGCGGAAGATCCCGTGTATGCACTGCAGAATAGTATCCCGATAGATACAAACTATTATCTGGAAAATCAATTGGCGAAACCTCTTGTACGTATCTTTGAACCTATCCTCGGCGACAAGGCTGAGTCGCTTCTCCTGAAAGGAGATCATACGCGTACGAGATGCATCGCTACCTCACAAGTTGGAGCTCTCGCGGCTTTCACACGTAAAAAAGAGACATGTTTAGGCTGTAAAGCTGTTTTACCACCTGACAGAGAAGACAAGGCAGTATGCAAGCATTGCGAATCTCAAGAGGCTGAACTGTTTCATAATGAGTTGCAGGCTCAGCACAAATTGGAAGAAAAATTTTCCAGATTGTGGGCGGAATGCCAAAGATGTCAAGGAAGTCTCCATCAAGAAGTTATATGCTCTAAGTTAGTTGTATTAATTAATATAGAATACTCTTTCCAAATAAAGATATGTTCTTATATATATTAACTGAGTTAATATTTACGTAGAAAAGTAAATATGAATAACATTCCAAAATAATTATTTTCAAATATATTTTCAGCCGTGATTGTCCAATATTTTACATGAGGGTGAAATCTCGATTAGACATGGATGCGAAAATCAAACGAATTAAAAGGTTTGGCGCATTGGAATGGTAATAAAAATCGCACATCATATAGGTAGGTTCATTTTATAAAAGCTATTATCTACTAAAATGGAAATTACCATTATTTATATATAATGAATTTAATTTGAATATTTATTTGAACTATTACGAAATATTTATGTATTTCTTATAAATTATTAAAATTTAATCAGTTGCTCAGGAAATATAAATACATATTGGAAAACATATATTAAAAATTATCAACCAATTATCAAACCTATTATTTGATTTTAATTGCTGCTAATCGGTAAAAATGATCTCAATATGAATATAAAAATTATCTCACATCAGTTAAACTAAAATTTTACTTAAGATGAAACTTCTATGTACTTAAAATCATTCCTAACATTAACACGATTCTTTCGCGGCACAGAATTCATTTTATTTCATTTATATTGTATAACAATTTTTATAAATGCTAGTATAATGTTGCACTATCCTATCCACTTGTTGTTGAGTTTCATTTGTTTTACTCGTATTGAAAAAAAATATTTTACATAATAATTTAAGATACAATGAAGACAATGGTATATTATGCATAGGTACGATTTAAATGTTTTGGAGTATTCTTGTTTTATGAGTTTGAACTTTTTTCGAAAATTTATTCTTGTTTAGTGATCAAGTTGTATATTTGATAGCAATATACTTGTATTCCCATTACAAACAATTTATAATTCCATATCAAATTCAATTATCGCGAATATTAAATGAATAGCGAGTTGTTTTGACCAAATTGTTTAATAAACGTTACGCGTAGCAATAGCGTAATAATAATACAAGATATTTATTAGTGCAAAAGATTCTAAGTTGAAAGAATTCTCTAAGTTTATTATCTTAAATATAGAAAGATAAAATGATCCCTTTATTGTTATATATTTCAGCCGTTATGAAAAAGTACTGCGATTCCTCAAATATTCTTGCTCTGTAAATTGTAAAGGAAATATTTAAAATACAATAATTACAATAAATAAACAAAACATCATGTGTCCGGTGATCACAACCTGACGACACATTTAGAGCGACAGTCGTGTGACTAATCCCCTTGTAAGGCTCAAATATAAATAACTGTGACGTAATATTGATCATTTTCTACTCTGTAGCGCATTCGACAACCAGTCCATGGCTTGGTCAAGCCCTTCGCCTTTCGTCGCGGAAGTTTTAAATATTTGGAAGGTTCTGTTTTTAAGAGCGTCCAATCCGAGCGCTTGATGGACCTCCGCGACACTAAGGCATCCCGCCATATCCTGTTTATTCGCCAGTACCACCAAGATCGCGCCTTGTAACTCTTCTTCCTGTTAAAATACAAAATACATTCTAAATTACTTTTTTTTAAAAAACAATCATTAATATTAATGTAAAATAATAGAAAAAAATAAAGATTTTTTATTTAATTAAAAAGTACTATACATAATTACTAGTTCAAAAAGTAACAGTAAGTATTACTTGTAACATGAGAATTAATTCATCCTTTGATATGCCTATTCTATCTCTGTCTGCCGAATCTACCACATAAATTATCGCATCTGTATTGGAATAGTAACACCTCCAGTATGGTCTAAAAGTATAAATATATTTATTTATAAAATATATTTTATGAACTACAATGACATTTGCTAAGATTTGTAATTCAAGGTATTAACTTAACGTGTATCGATATTCATGCATGTACCTTGCTTTCTTTTCTTTAATGGAAATTGAAAAAAGAAGACACACTAGCCATAAAGGCTAACATACATCAAGTCGATATATAATATTATAAATCTTGGATGGCACTGATGCATATGAGTTATTGAAATTTAAGATAAAAAAATAGTTCTATAAATTTTTAAATCAACTTTCACATGTATACAAGCTTGACATACCGTATACTCGTTTGACCACCGAGATCCCAGACTTGAAACTTTAAATTTTTGTAAGTAACTTGTTCTACATTGAACCCTATGGTTGGTATTGTAGTTACCACTTCGCCGACCTGTAACCTAATAAATAATCAATTAAAGAACTTTGCTTATAACAATTTCATAGTCGAAATTTTATATGAATAAATATATATATATAGATATATATATTTTTTCTTTCTCGTCATTGTAGAATTAATACGTTTGATATATTTATATCATATAGAATTATAAAATATAAATTATATATATTATTTATGATATTCATAATATTAATGTATGTAATTATACAGCAAATAGAAAATAAATTATGTTTAAAATGTCGAAGATGTAAGAACTTCAAGGCACATAAGATAAAAAGGTTCAAAATATAAAAAAAAAACTTCAAAAAAGTTAGTAGTAGATGCACTGTGTAAACACAAATGACAGCTAGTCATTGAGATAACGAGAACTGTCAATGCAAACCTGTACAAAATCGTGGTTTTGCCGGCGCCGTCCAGGCCTAGGATCAAGATCCGCATCTCGCGGCTACCGAGCAGGTTACGAAAGTAGCTGAGCAACCCACCTGTAAAAAGATATCGTCAGAATCTCGCGTAAGAAACCGTAAGGAAAATCACCTCGATAATCGGAGTAGCGTGCGATATTCAATCCCTTTTTTTTTAAGGAATAAATGCATGGCATAGAGCAAGAAATCGCTCGTTGTTGACTCACCCATGCTGACGTATCGTTAACTCCGAGTCATACAGGACTGTCCGATGTTTATTGTCAAATTTGATAACCATAAACGTGTCCAAATAACCGGGCCGCGCCAACCCTCCCTCGCTCTGCTACATCCACGATATACGACCTACTTCAGTCTGCTCACTGTCAGGGCCGCCAACGTGCCACATAGAAAATTGAGATTTCGAAAGTCACTAATCAGCCGGCTCATCGCGCAGGGATTCACGAACGGTCATTGCACTTTTTTTAACCAATTTAGTGCGTTCCCAAATTCATCGAGAAAAAATTATTTTAACCTGCCGTCAGTGTACCTTTTAATTCTCCCTCGCAAACACGAGCACACCACTTGGCATACGACGTATGGATCCATTTACGAACGTAAACCGGTGATCGTGCACGTTGAACAGTGAACTGGTGACGTTGAAAGTTCCGATCGAGGAAACAATGCGCGTTAGTTAGAAATTCGTTGATCTACAGCTGTATTGATTGAGTTGCTTTAATTTAATAGGAACGCCATAATTATTGACGATTATTGACGGCATAATAATGCACACGTTCCTAACACGAGGAAATGCTATCTTGGCATATACGTTAAGCGTTTCGGCCTGTCTCACATTTTGCTGTTTTCTCTCAACAGTTTTTATTGATTACAGAGCGAACGCTACGTTAAATACGGTTAAAGTTGTCGTGTAAGTATCAAATGTGAATATATAAATATGATGTTTCATACAATTTATATTACACAGTTTTCATTTCAATTAAATTACACTTATGTTTCTGTTAAAAGGATCCATATTGTATTTGTGAATCATACTGTGCAAGAAAATAAATTTTTCTACATTATTTTAAATATACAAATATTGAGAAACTAATATATTAAAGATTAATGCATTAACAAAAATGTTACATAATTTTCCATATTTGCAATTGCTGTAGTAAATTCACTTTATCTTGCAGAAAGAATGTACCAGATTACAGTGCATCGAGAGAAAAGAACGACCTGGGTTACTTGACTTTTGATTTACAAACTGATATCCTTTTCACACATAGTATTGTATAAGTGTCTGTTATTAATTATTTTATTTATACGAATCCAATCTAAAAATTATATCTAATCATCTTATGTAATTTATAAAAATAGTTCAGCATTGATAAATATTACTTATACCTCATCTAGATTTCTAATAGTATATTCGATTTACTGACCCGAGTCAATGGTCTTTTGTTTAGCTGTAAAAGAAGAGTTAAAATGTGCAAGAAACGCAGCTAAAAAGAATAGACCTTGATTGGAGTCAGATCAAGTTAGTAAATCAAATACACTATAACTTTTTAAAAAAAGGTCAAAGTATCATGAGTGAAAATAACTTATTTTGTTCTGTATAATAGCGTATTTTACACACTAAGAATCATGTTCGACTTTCATTGGCCTTTCTAATTGTTTTTTTTTAATTCATATATTTTAAATTATATTTACCTTACAAAACTTTTACATCTTACTCCATTGTTTAATTGGAATGTTAAACAATTATTCTTATATCTCACAGCAGAATATCAGACAGAAAATAATGAATTTAATCAGGTATGTCTTTATCAAGTTTATTAATTTACAATATGTATTCTCCTTTTTTTCTTAAGATCAGTTTTTAAATAATAATTTATATATGTTTACAGGTAGTATTATGGGATAAAATAGTTCTTCGTGGAGATAATGCTGTTCTAGATTTCAAAAATATGAATACAAAGTATTACTTTTGGGATGATGGCAAAGGTCTCAGGTAGAGTTGATTATTGTGGCAGCAAAGCTTTTCTGCAATTTTTGTTAATCTTAGGTATACAGCAAATACGTTTTTTGCTTTTCATTTTTACAGGGGAAATAAGAATGTAACGTTAACACTGTCCTGGAACATTATTCCAAACGCTGGATTGTTACCTAGTGTTAATGCTCTTGGTTCTCATACTTTTGCATTCCCGCCTGAATACACAACATTACGTGTATAACGCATATTTAAATGTATATGTGTTACGATTGTATAATATGATTTTGTAAGACTATTATTTAAATTGCATAAAATTCATGTACAATAAACAACGTTTATTTCTTCACGATCATTTCTTTATTATATTCAACATTATATTTGCTCTCAATTCGTTTGTTATTATCTATATTTGTTTAAAATGGATTATCAAATTTAAATATTGTGCATATTAAATGTATGTATACTTAGGAATTGGAAATCAATTTATATTTTACAAAATATTGAAATTGTCCTTCTTCTTGAATTCTCATACTTCTTTTCGCATATTTGTGCGTGATTTAACTTGATAATTGATATTTCATTTTCAATTATATTACTATTTTACACTGTAAATAAATGCTAAGCTTTATTTTTACTATTCTCTGAAGTTTCTTGCATTGTGGTATTTTTCTTTTCTTCGTCCGTACTTGTGGATTCATCATCATCGTCTTCTATATCATCTTCATCATCATCTTCGTCTTCATCATCATCATCATCATCATAGTCATCATCATCATCTTCATTGTCATTGGAATAACTAACAGTTCCATAACAAGACTCCTGATTTATATAAAAAAATGAATACAAATATATTCTTAATTTTTTTAGGATTTTGAATGCTCATTTCTATCAATGCAAATTAACTTTAATCTCAATTTGAATTACTCTTTATCTTTCTCTAATATCTAAAACTAGAAAAGAATAAAAAGTAAAGTCAAAGTTAATTGACAGAAATGAACATAAATTTTCATTAAAAACAGAAGAATCTTGGTTTACCATAATTATATCCGTTTTCATCATCAGATTCAGATGGACCACCTTGGTTTTGTCTACCAAATTTGTGATTTCTCGCTATAAAAGGAATTCGAATAAATCAAATAAATTCAATATAACAAATTTTACAATAAATTTTATAAAAATAATACACGAAAATGCTTACTAGACATGCTTAGATCCTTAGTCTGTGATGTTTCGTAGCTACACTTTGGACAAGGGATAGGTTTATTTTTTTCATATTTAAAGCCTTTTCTACGAACGTGATCTTCACAATAGCATGTCTTACATCTAAGACAAGAGTATTGTCCCAAACGATTACATGATTGGCCTGGAAATTTTAATTCACGTTAAAATACAATTGGAAATTAAATAAAAATATAATATCCCTTATGTATATCGCCTATTACATTTAAAATTTTCTGCTTCCAATACTTGGCACGATGCTTGATGCTCAAATTGATCATCCTCACATAAAAAACAATCACAGAATGAACACTTGAATATTCTTCCTCCATGATCCCAAACGCCTCTCTCGCATTCCTGGCAAATGGCGTCCATCAGTGGACAGATACAAGCGTGACTAGTGAGACAACGTCTTCCGTGACATACCCAAGCTTCGCAGTGATCGCATATGGCTCCCTAAAACATTTCATTTGTGAGAGATAGCATATTCCAATAAATATTTAAAAAGGCAGCTCTATAATGTAATAGATTTACTTGCCACCATTCCTAATCCTGTAGTGAAGATCCCAGGATGACGCACCACGCAGTCTCCTGTCTTCAGCATGCATTTAATCTTGCCACAGTGCGCGCATATGGGCAATCGTTGTAGACTCTGACAGAAATAACAGAAGGCACGACTCTTTTGCTTCTTATTGCACTTGTCGCATTCCTATGAGATAAAATAATATTAGAATCATGAAATAGATTATTTTAAGGTTTGTTTTTTATTACTAAACTGCATACAGAAACTTCACTCACGTATACCCAGTATTATTTTATCCTTGTTTAACATTTGGACTATATACTTCAAAATGTCCTCTCTGAGGAAAATTTTATTTGATACAATATAAAGTTTGTTTACTATGGTTAAAGTATACACTTTCGGAGCTTAAAATGAGATAGGTACATGTATGATATTTGACAAAAACGAGAAAGAGAGTTCTAGTGAACAATCTAGTACAAGAACAAAAAACAGATCTCTAGCATATGCGTTATTTGTATTATATATTTTTCAAATAAAATTTTTCCTTGGAGAGAACATTTTGGAATGTAGCCTTGGTGAACAAAAGAGAATAAAATGATAATACCTTGAATTTGTGAACACACCCTTGTACTAGATTGTAACTTTCATTTTCACTTTCGCTCAATTTCAAGCATATACTTAATTAACTTTCTAATTTCACTTTAAGTACAATTGTAATATTTAACTATAAATAACAATTACAATCAAGAAATACTCACCATTACGGAGTTGCAAGGAAATTTGGCCAGATCAATCTGCTCCTTGGCAGCTCTGATCTCCTTCTGTCGGAGTTTTTGCTTCTCCGCCTTCTTCCTCTGCCCGGTTTTCTTCTTCGGCATTTTGTTCTGTAAACGGGACGCGTACCGCAAGAAACCGACTTTCCGGCTTTTGAAATTACAAGACGTGCGTATAAATTACGCGAAGTCGCGAGAGATTGCAACAGGTTATGGTTTTGAATGCACACTACGGAGACCGGAGTATGGACATCATTACGAGAGTCGAGTGATCGATATTACGATTTTTGAACCGCGTGACAGTTGTTTGATCAGAAGGTTTATTTTTTGGAGTTGCTGCTTGATATTGTACTGTAAGTTATAAAATTAATTATTTAGCATTTCAATTAATGGAATAAGATACTATGAATATATAAATAAGAAAATTTACCCTTTCAGAATTGACTTGTTAAATGGAAGCATCGAATGATGGTAAAGAAAACCAAATATCATTAAATAACAATGGAAGGTCTAAGTCGCCGTGTGCCGTTGAGTCCCTGTTACTGCTAGATAATACGTTATTATGTAACATAGAACCTGACAATGGATTATACGTTTCAGTAGATACTTGCCAGCCTTTCCAAGAGCATGATGAGACAGCACAAGTTTCCAAAGAATCACTGCAAAGCATTGCAACAGCTAGCTGCAAAATATCATTCAGTGTGTCTCCAAACGCGAATGAATGGCAAGACAAAACCTTAATGAATCAAATATTTGCTCAATTTGATTCACAGAATGAGGAAGAAATTAATTCAGAGAATTGCAATAACATAAGCAATTATGATATATTTGATACATTTTACAAAG